ATTTGATGGAGTGGGAGCAGTGGCAATAAATACTGTCAGCTTTCTTGTTACCAAATTCCCAAGCCCCATGCAACCTGACTGAGGCTGAGCCATCCCCTCTTCCTCTCCTGTGTGGCTGGTTTCGGCCAGACCAGGCCTAGCCATGCCCCCTCCTCCCCAGTTCTAGCCCCTGGAGGGTCTAAGCACCATCCATCTGGCCTGAGGAGGAAAAATGTTGGGCACCATTGTTCTAGAACATTATCACATGGTTTCCTGTTTTTCCTGCAGTACCTGGGTATGAAGCTAATAAAGAGACTGAAATGTAATATCTGCATAGGAATGATGCAAGTGACACCACTGTGTCCAGGAATATCTCAAAGGAGAGTATGTGGTAGCAATGAGGAAAGTCAGTGCACAGTTTTATCCAAAAAGACCTCAAAGCATTTTACTACCTGATTTACTAGTAAATCCAGGAGAACCTAACATCTTCTTCCCTCCCTCATCCAAAATTCAACTATCACCCACCCCCTAGCATACTTTACTTACACAAACATCCCACAGCTCTTCTCCAGCATACATTAACCTCAATATATCTACGCTCTTCACATGATGCAGATAAAACCAATTCTACTGTTTAATGGCTTTGCTTTGTCCACAACTGCCATGAAAACCTATTTGAAGTATAACTGCTGTTCAACTGCTGTGAAACAGTTTTGATCACAAAGTAAAGAATGTCTACTTGAAGCTGGCAACTTAAAGAAGGCAAAGTATACTGTGGTCATATGATAATTCTTCCTTATGAAAATTCTATGGGACTTTAAAGATCAAAGTGTTCAGGAATTCATTGACTTACATTTTTCTAGCAATGGCCAGACTTCTAATCATTACTTCCTTATATGTGTCTCTGTTTAAAAAACTACACCTTTTTAAAAAAATGTTTTTTTTTACAGTTAATTGCAGGGAGAAATTTGCCAAAAATGAGAGTTCCGTCACACAAAATTTCTCGTGCTAGCAATATCTCATTTTCAAATTTCATGATGAAAATTACACCAAAAAGAAAAAAAAAAATCGGACATTGTATCTAATCCTAATAAAAACAATACTTCCATTATTAAATTTATGTCTATTTAAAACTATAATTAGGGATTTTAATTGATTTTGGTGACATTGATAATACAACAGCTGTACTGATTTTGTCCATTGATAACTGAATGTGTTATAGAGAAGGCTTAATTAGTACTACTTATTAAAAATAGCATAAACAATGTCTAGTTCACAAGATAAATTGTATAAGGGCCAAATCCCTTTTGACTTCAAAGGCATGTACACATGTGCAAAAGCTTCATGGTCAGAGGCTAAAGGATGAGCCATTTTAATTCTAGCTGAAACAGGATACCTGCCTTCCATCCAGCATGAACCATTTCAATTCATTACTCACAGTACAGATTACCCTGATTTTTAAACCTTATAAAAAGTGTACAGCATATCCTAATGGATGAGGGTCCCATTCTGTACCACATAACTTGGCTTCATTAGTCAAATGTCCAAATGATTTGAGACACCATGAAAACACTGTTCTATGCAAACAGACGTGGAAAGGGGATTTTGCAAAAGGCTGGTCATTGAAAGGGGATTTTTCAAGGCTGGTCATTGAGCAGGTTTTTTAAAACACAATGATTTAAGAGCCACAGCTGGACTTATTTCCACTTACACAGTGTGTGCTCTGCAGGTTTTTCTGTTTTCAGCAGCAGTATGCAGAAATGGTGTGACCTCAGTTCTCTTCTGCACCCTGCCAAGCCTATCACATGGATAATTACCTCTCTCTGGCTTTAGGATAAGTCATTGGTAGGGTTAGAATGACCAATTGCCAACCCTCACGGTGCCATTTGGAAAGAGCATTGATACTTTTCAGAATTAGGACCTTTGACAAGACTTCTGAAGAGGTGGAGGGAAGAAGTGGTGGTGGGGGTTGAGAAGGAAGTAAGCTAACCTAAAGGTGGATAAAATACACTTTTCCACTGGTAAGGAGTCTATCATTGGGGCACATACAATCTTACTTAAGTCCTTCCCTGAACCAGACTGAAATAATATGCTAAAGCAATACAGCACATAATGTTGTCCAGTTAAAACAATATGGTAAACAGGACATTGTCAACTTAGAGAGAAAAATCACACCTATACCTGAAAATATACTTGCTTTAGTTATAAGTGATCTCTGGAATCCTTATAATGAGAGGAACTGAAGAAATATACATTTCTGCTGTCTTTGTGGTGTTTACTTTTGCTTTTGACAGCCTGTCAGGCACCTGCACATTTTTCTCATACACAGACATCGCTCTCGTACATTGTTCTGAGAGGGCTGTAACATGCACTCTGTTCTCCAGGTTTCACAAGAGGACAATTTCTTGCAAAAGCAGAAATAAAGCTGAAACCAAAGCAGTCTCTGGTGACGTGTAGACACGTACACAGGGAGGGGTGGAGTGCTTTAATCGCTCTCAGGTCTGATCAAAAGATGTTATCACAAGAGTAGGAAAATGTTATTATTTAATAAAAATGTAAATATAATAATTCTAAATGCTCTACAAGAGGAGATCTGCATCAATAAATACTATATTTTTAAATAAAACCACTGCAAAGAATTTGAGTTGACAGACTTCCTGCTACGAGGCATAAAGTCTAGCTCCACACAGAGGAGAATACGAAGGGACTGCATATGTAAAAAGTTCCAAAATATCCAATGTGGAGATACCAGAATTCCTGCAAAGGCAACTAAGAGGCACCATCAATTACTGAAGTGTCCTGTGAATTCCTTTTAGAGCATGTCTATACCTAGGCAATGCCATACTGTTTTGTTCCTATCTCCTAAATTGGGAACAGTGCAGGTAGGTTTGAGGTACTGCTGCACCTGGGTGATAACTAGGAACTTACTTAATTCACGGTTTTGCAGTTTTTGTGGAGACCACAAAAACTGGCAGTATCCACAATCACTGGGAAATAATCCATCGATTGTGATTTCCCACAAAATCAACTAACCCCCCCCCCAAACCACAGCATATTATTCATATAATAAACTGTTTTAAAATCTCCTAATCCTTACCATGAATTTAGACAATGTATCAATCCCTCCAGCCACTCTCATATGCTTGAGACATACTGACTATCTGCAATGATGGCAGGGCCTTTCTGCCAATCAGCAGTGATAGTGGGACCTCTCCACTAATTAGAAGAGAGGGACAAGACTGCAGGGAAATGCCCATGAAATTGGCCCTTCTTGCCGTGAGCAAGCACAAAAATGGTTTTGCCTTGCCATGAGTTAAGTAGGTCTCTAGTGATAACTGCAGAGAACAGCCAATTAGCCCTCCCACAGTACTGCACTAAAGCAGCATGGCAAGTTTCAGCATGGCACCACCCAGCAGAAAAAGTTGATGGGAGAGTTATGCCTTTAGTGTCTTTTTGTTCTAAGGAATCACACCAGTAAAAGGCTTAAATCTTGACCTGGAAATCAAGATTTTAGTTCTTCAAGTTCTTGAGCTCTAAATGAAAATGTCTTCTCACAGTTTTTCTGTGGTACTAATCGCTGGGGACTTCTAACCATTAGGAAACAAAACCATCACATTTTAGCCTTATTTAACATCTTAAGTCTGAGCAGCTCCATTTCAGCGCACTCTCAGTGGGATATATATCCCTCCATTAGTAAGTGACCACAGCACTTAGGGAGTCGCAGGACTGCAATTCAGCACTTGAAGAATGTTGGTATTCTCTAGACATGCTAATAACCATTTCAAAGCAGTCCTAGGACTGGTCTGACACCACTTGCATATGGCTGGTAAAGCTCCCACAGCTACTTAGAAGCCTATTTTCAGACCATGACCATCATCTTTACTCTCTAGGGCTTCATAGAAACTCTCCACTTGACTCGAAACAGTCATTTGCTTTGTTTTAGTTCTTCACTTATTTTCTGTACAAATTTTAAACTATCTGTCCTACCAGCGAGTGCTCCGCTATATGGCCTCTTTCCAAAGGGATGAATGCTATCCCATTAGAGCCCTGGGTGGGAAGATCTATAGAGGCCCAGAAGTATGTATTCTTTTCTAGAGGCAACAGAATAACAGATGAGCAAATACTGCCTATGAATAGTCCTCTTGCAACTGTAGAGAGCCTTCTTTGGGCCTTGCAGGTTCTCAGAATCTTGGCTTTCCTCCACCAAGCCTCTTATTTCCATTGCTGCCTGGGTCCTCCATGTGCTACTCCTTTCTGTGCTGACTGTGGCTACTTTGCACATCCTAGCTTCCTACCCATCTGTATTCTCTTTCATTAGGGTGAACTCAGCCCTTTGAATTCAAACCTCTTTTACCTATAATTATAATCCTCTTTCATAATCTGCAGAGCGCTGGGTAGACCTACTACGATTTGACAATAATGACCATTTGGGACAATGAGAAGTTGATAGGAACATTTCAAAGTTCCTTATCAGTATTCTTAGTGACTATCCAAAGCAAATCTAACATTTTATTATTTACCAAACTTTATGCTCATGTCTGATGTCCAGTTATTCAAGGAATGGCATGAAGGTCAAATTTTCTGCTGTATTTTTTTGGTTCACCAAGCAATTACTTAAAAAAAATCATGCTGAGAGTCTTTTTGGTGTGATGATTTTTGAATTCTACCACAATGGAAGCCAGATTCTGTTTATATTTATACTGGCACAAACCCAGATTGTTCCCACTGACTTTACTGAAGCTATTTTGGATTTATATTGGTATAGAATAAGAGCACAATTTGGCCTGGGGGCAGCAGGCGGTGGGGGTTGGGGGTGAGAAAGGAGTTTCTTCACAGTTCTGGATAAAGCAATCAGGGAGAAAATGCTCATCCTTGTATGAGGATAGATGGAAGATTCCCCTTCTAGGTTCTAAGTATTGTGAGCAAAAATTTTGTAATAAAGCTAAAGGAAAAATACCTTGTTGAGTTTTAACCAGACTCTTTTGTATACAATATAAAAGAAGTAGATTATTTATACAGACCTCTTCTTCTTCCCAGTCTATCAAATCCCAATCATAAGCAATCACTGCTCTTCGTCTTTTCCAAAACTCCAGGAAAACAGTTGCTAGAGCAAAAAGAAAAAAAGGAAATATAACATCACTTTCACTTGATGATAATGTGTTAACTACTATCAATTCCTATTTTCATTTCTTTGCATAAATAGGTTTTGTTGAAATACAAATCTTTGCAATGATCAAGGCTATCTTCAAAAGGTATTACTTTCTATCATGTATCAAGCATGATTGAAGCTTTAGAGATTTAATTTACTGCTAAATGAAAATGTTTAATGTTCAGCCAAGTAAGTGAAGGATTGAGCAGAATGAAATGATTCCAGTGAATCATCATAGCTAAACTAGACAGACTAATGACAAAGGAAAAGATTTTTTGGGGACAGTGTAGATAAATCAGGTACATTTTCTTATCAGAAAACGATTTAAAAATACACAGGGAATCTGAATTGTGGGGAAGCCAAAATTTGCACATTCCAGTACACATTTAATTCAATACAGAGCAATTTACACACACACACACACACACACACACACACACACACACACACACACCCCCTCTATATATCAGAGTTTATTTTTTCCACGTGAAGCACAGCTGAGCATGAAGAACAGTCTGAATTTATAGAGATTATTGTAATATGGTATGCATAAAAGCGACTGTGCTTGCCACAGTATTTTATGTTGTAGAAAAGATCAAAAAGCACTCAGTTGAAGATACCAGGACAGATCTTGATGTTCTGGTAACTAAAACTGGTAATGGATATCTTTTTTCTCTAAGTCCTATCTTAGAGAACACATATTCATGGGCAAGAAGGCACCCTTGGCTTGCCTTCTGAGATTATCAACAAGGCCGGCTTTATAGTCTTTTCTGTGATGGAGCTACTCATTACCTAGTAACTGTATTCAGTGCACCAATTCATTTAATACAGAGCAGAAAACAAACCAGCCAGATAGCAAGATCTTTCAGCCACTATTAACTTGTCTTTGATTCCCACCCCCCTCACACACTGTTCCCCACCCCCAGTTCCCCACTTTTCAGGGCAAGTGGCAAAATACCAGAGTGATTCTCATCACAATATTTCTACTCCATGGATGCAGACTATTTAAGAACCTTGTGAGATTTTTCAGTCCAAGCTTTTGAACTTTTCATCTATCAGGAATAAAATAATTTGTTTCTCTCATTATTCAAGTATGTTTGGAAAAAAGGTATTTGTGGCTATATTAAATCTACCCTTTTCTTTTGAAGTTTCTTTTTGATGCTATTTTTAATTTATTCAAAAGTCACCAGTGCAGTGGGATCCTCATGTTGTTTCCCCTTTTCCAATTGTATCACACTTATTTTTTTCTACTGAGGACGGTAGCCCATCCTTTCTGTCACTGGATATTAATAAAATCATAGAATAATAATGACAAGGGATCTCAAGAGATCATCCAATTCAAATGCCTGCTCCAGGGAGGACCATTTCTGTCTAACCTATCCCAGACAAATGTTGATCTTAGCATACTGCAGCATACACTGTTGATAGCTTATCTCTGGTTGATTTCCCATATTTTTATACTTCTGAGAGCTGCTAAAAACAAATCTAGAGACCTCTTTTTTTGTTATTAGACTAAGACCCAATCTACATATTACACTTAAGATGTGATAACCAGTCATGTTTAATGGTCACCTGGCCATATGTTCAGTCAATTAATGGTGTGTTGAAAAGAGGAACTAATTATGAAGTTATTCCACAAAATATGTGTAACAATTTTGTAGTAGCTTCCTACCACAACATTAACTGAACATCTGGCCCAGGGCCCCTGGGGCTGGGAGTTCAGTCAGCTGATTGGAGCTCCCAGCTGGGTGGGGGGACATGTGTATCCCTAGTCCAGGGAGCTCCCAGCTGACTGCTGTCTCTCAGCTGTGGCACTGCATGGGGTGCCCCCATGGCTGGGAGCCCTGTCAGTTGAGGAGGCTCCCAGCATGGGAGCTTGCTTCTTGCTAGTGCAGGGGAAGCCTGGGATCAGGTTCCCCCTGCACATGTAATAAGGCATGATGGGATCTGATTCACAATCCCACAATCACACCTCCTGCCATGCACGTGTAGCATGGCAGGAGGTGCAATTGTGTGGATGGTTCATTAGATCCCATCATGCCTTTACCTGTATGTGTAGATGGGCCCTAATTATTGCTACTACCCCACATTCTCTTCTGAAGGTGACAGCTTAATTTTGCTGTACTTGAAACACTTTGTAATAGTAAGAGCTTTGTTAGGAGCAAGAGTTTTGCATGCTGTGTTAACAGCAACAGTTTTGCATGGTAATTCTATAGTAGGCCGGTGTAGTGGCACATAGCCTCCCACTTTGTGAGCGTGACCGAACCATGAACCTAGATAGTAGAATGTTGTAAGATAGTGGAATGTGATAAACACCAGGTGCGTTGGATCATGACTCATCCCCATTTTCTTAGCTTGAGATAACCAAATACTTAGCTCAAGATAACGTTGTTTACTTCAGACTATATAAACTGTATATTCTTAAGTTACTATGGGTTCTTCAGCTCTGGCAAGAGTTCCGACTTGTGCGGAGCCCGGGCACAGGTTATCGCATCCCCGGGATCGGGACACTCCGGGGCCAGAGGAACCACGAGGGGTAGCAGCTGCTGCCTAAGGCCGATGTGAGGTGACCTTCCTCTCTGCTCTGTTCTATCTCCTGTCTCTGCGAGTATCCTTAAATAAAGCTTTGCAAGGGTGAAAACAACCATGAGTACATCCTTTGTTCAAGCACAGAGAATCCTCTGAACCCAGCAGTTCTTTCTAAGAAACACTTCTTTTAGGATAGATGGGATAGATTCATCCCATGTTTACTGTTCTTGTCAGGAACTCTGGGGCTCAAACCTAGGTCTTTCCAGGCTTGTGGGTAATAGCCTGTGTTGCAGCACCCCTAAGCAGCTAGCTAGGAACTGCACCCAACCCAGCCTGGGACCTCCTGTGAGGTTCCCAAGGGGAGACCATGTGACCCAGGGAAGCCAATGAAAGCCACAAGTCCTTGATGGGAGAGCTATAAAAAACATCCTACTTTCCCTGAGGCCTTGTCCCAGCAACAGTGTTTGTAGCCTTATTATTTGGGACCCTCCTGCCTTGCTCTAGTCTCACCAATTTCTCAGCCCATCCTGCCCTGGCTCCCATCTGTCTCTAGTCATTGACCTGTGTGCCTAGTTCCTGCCTCACCCCTGCTTTGGAGCCTCGTACCTTGTTCTTGCTTATCTCTTTGTATGCTTTTGACTCCCTGGCTCCTGACCTTTGTTCTGTCCTTGACTATGGGTCCGTCTTGACCCCCAATCTAGTATTTCAGAGTCAGACTGACACCGGGTAGTGAGACCATTGGCTTTGGCTTCTGGACTTCTGGTATGGTTGATCTTTGGCTGCTGAAACCAGACGCTTCACATCCAGGGTGTATTCATGACAGCTCTTCAAGACTTTTTCTTGAAGTTCTGAATGTAACATGTTATCTTCCAGGCACATGTTGCTATAATTTTACTATACTATTGTTTATTCCCCTCTCACCCTCCTGCCAACATCCATTTCTGCACTCATCTCTCAACATCACCTTTTTTTGCTACATTCAATCCAACTTGCTTTGCCTCTTCTAGTTAATGACTTACTCCTTATCTCTGATCAGGGATTCTCTTCTCTCTCACACTATTTCTGAGTATCACTGAACATCTCCTTCCTTCTTGAACACAGGTATTCAGGATTACTTCAAAGAACCTCCCTAAATTCCATCTTTTTTGAGAGCAAATGAAAGAAGCCCTGTGGCTTGAAAAAGAAAAGAGTTAAATACCTCAGCAAGGTTATATTCTCTTAAACTGTGTCTGCTACATGATAATTCTTTTATCACTGAAAACATGCCTGCTGGGAGGCAAAAAGGAATTATAGTGAGGACATTTTTAATGTCCTCTTAAGGAAATATGGGGAATGGAAGGAACAGGCATGTAAGCTAAAGTAATTTGGTTGTTTCTCTAGCAAAGCAGTAATAACGGCTGGAACTGGTTAATCGCTCACTGTTGAAGGAATACACTTGTATTCAAACAACATATGTTTACAAACAGTGCTAGACAACAAAACTTGTAATATTTGTTTCCAGTGCTTTGTCTAAATAATCAAACACTTTGCTACTTGACCTTAAAAGAATGTACTTGTAGCTTAACTGACTGACTAATTATCCAGGATATCTTTTTTAAATAAATGTGCTTTCATCAGTTTATATGATGAGCCTGTGGCAGGAAGCCACCTTTGTTTATCCCCAAAATCTCTGTGCTGTGACAATTTGATTAGGATGGGCCCAGCAGAGGAGACACACCTTTACCCTATCTCTTTAGGTAACCTGAGTTGGCTACATTCCTGAGGGAGGGGGGAAACCTGCTCCCTCTGCCTACGAGACTGGTATCAGCTACCTGGGTGAGGGGCTTCTACCTGGTGGGCTAGAGTCTGCCCGGCAACTAGTGATGTATTTCAAACTGGTTGGCTGACAGCCAACAGGTGCTGGCCTCCATTGGGCCCGGGGAATGAGGTCACAGGGGCTATATAAGTTAAGACTGCCCAGGAGGAGGGGGCAGCAGCCATGCAGGGGACTCAGACTTAGAGAGGAGCTTTACCATCTGAAACTGGCTGTCTCTCCCAAAACTCACGAGCTAGGAACAGCCTGCCTCCAGAGGGAATTTCCAACAGCCTCTGAATGATACTTGTGAGTAAGCTACTTGAGATCTGATTAGATATCTAGCTGGCAGTAACTCAGATGCGTGGTCAAAAGGCTACCTCAGCCAGATTGTTTTGCTCTATGGGATTTCTATGATATTGCTCTATCTTGTACCCTATTTCCACCCTACCCTCTGTAATTAATAAAGTTCTTCTTTGTGACCGGTGTAGGAGACTTATTGAGGAGTGGGTCTAAATTATGCCTAAGAGGCCCCTTAGGTCTGCAGACTAAGGGAGACTTTCCTTTTTGGCCCCTGACTTGGGGAAGTGCCCCAAGTGCCTGTACTGGGTCGAGTACCCATAGGACTATTAGG